GCGATATTCGTCGGATCGCGAAAAAAAAGTTCAGTGAGAGTATAAGACAGACTCAAATGGTGATGATGGGGGGGACACGCACTCCGTTAACCGAACATTGCCATTGCAATGTGCGCAGTGCGAGTGAAAGCACACGTCAAAACAAATAAAATAATAATAATAATTATTAATTTTCTTTCACTTTCCCGCGGCAGCTCCTGCCACAACACTCCCACACACGCACACACACACACCCACAGACATGCAATGGCGACTTTGCAGCTCCTCCTTAAAGCCATCTTCTCTTGCGATCATGGCAAATCGCCCTCAAGTGCAGAAAAAAAATCTGCGCCACGTAAAGTGCAATTAACAGAGTAATTAGCAATGGAATTCAACAATTTAGCATTATCATATTCGTGCTGATATTTATATGTGTGTCCATAAATGTCTGCATAAAGTAAATAGCAGAATATATATATTGTTTTCTATCAATTTTATCCTTGACTGGAGAGCGGGCATGTGTGCGAATTTTCCAAACGTTTTTTTTCGCGCAGCAGGTTAAGTAAACTAACTGTCCATGGCCTTGCCTCTACATATGTACTTATCTCCCTCTCGCATCTGTCGACGCCAACGCACGCACGATCCACAACGAGTATGTCTACCTTCTCTGTCTCGCACTCTCGCGCTGTCTAAGCGCACGCAAACTAATTAAGACAACAATTAATGATTATCTCTCCTCGTCCATCCCATGGCCAATTGTGATGCAAAGCCAAAATAGCCAAATAAAAAATAAAACAAAAACAAAAAATGTTGAAGTGAAAATGCTTTTTGCAAACTCCAAAACCTGCCCAAAAGCGGTTGCAGTGGCCCGGCCATGCGTGTATGTTAATGGTGCAATATGTACAAATAAAAATACGCAAGAAATGGAGAGAAAAACAATTTAATTGCGAAAAATTAACGAAAATTTTCACATTTCAATGACCTTGACAATGGCGCTTTGCTTTGGCCCAGGCCAGATAGCCTCTGGCAGTTTAAGTACTGGCGAAACCAAGCAGCAGTTAATTTGGAGACATATTATAATCACGAACCTCTTGTCTCATAAAAGTAACAGTTTTGCGGCATAGTCAATCAGCAGAACATAAAATATAAGTATGTAAATTATGTAAATGCTGCAAACAGCAGCTTCTGCTTCGTTTACCCGGTACTTAAAGCTAAGAAAACTTGTAGCAGGGAGGAGGTTAAAGCGGGTACCGTACCTGTAGTTGTCTCCACCACGGGTTGATGGGCGTTTGTGCATGTGTGTGTGTGTGTGTAGAAAACGTGACGACTTACGTACTTTTGGAGAAAGGTCGTTGATCATGGCTACAATGTGTGTGCATAGCGGTTTCAAAGTCAACATCAACGACGCTGTTTTTGGCAATTTTAAGTATTTCTAGTTTCAATAAAAAGCCAGTTATTTATGTACATACATACAGATGTGCATATGTATGTTTGGATTGACAATAAATTATAGCCCCTCTCTAGCCGAACAACACTTTGAATTCCCCAGCTTAACCCCACAATGACAAGGTTAGCGGCCGGGGCAAAATTTTCTTCGCCTAATTGAGAAATCTCACTTGCTAGATATGGATGTTCTTTTTCAGTTTGTCTGGCCGACATGCTTAGAGCACTTTGATGGCGATTTTCCAACCAGTTTCAGTTCCAATTGCTTGTGGCATTCTAAAATGATTTGTGGGTCCAGTTGCTCGGTCCGATTCATCGGACCGTTAGAACAAGCCAATTTTCAAAGACAGCTACCTCTACGCTACTCTCTGCGTTGGATAAGAACAAGAACAAGAAGAACTCGAACTCAATGTAAAACTCGAAAGTTGCGAATCGAATGGAATTTCGGAATATGCTGACGTCTGCGAATAAGTCCATGCGAATAAACTCCGATTTCGGTATTTACCTTGGAAAACTGCCATGCAATTTGGTGATTTGTTTCATTTGTTTAAATGGAATTGTTGCAACGATTTCAATTTCTTCCAAAATAAAAACAACAAAAAAAACCGACAACAAACCCAAAAGTGACTGTGGACAAGCAGAGAGCGAGATAGAAATAGATAGCGAGAGAGGGTGCTGCCAAGTCGGGCTGTGGCTGGGCGCGACGTCACCGCCGCAGTTGGTGCCACTCCTTTGACCAGTTGCCCAAACATTGACTCTGTCTGAAAGTGTGTGTGTATGCGAGTGTCGTTTTCTTTTTATGCTTATGCGAGAGAGGGAAGCGCAGTGTCTGTCTCTCTCTATCACATGGTCTGTTTGTTCGCTTATCGCGGAACATGTTCTGTTCAGTTCTTTCTGACTTCCTTTTGTGCGTCACTTTGGCTAGAAATAGTAAATTGTTTAACCACAGATTAGTCAACGAATAACAAATAAATAAAATAACCGAAATTCCCCTCAAACAACAAATCGCTATGCTTATTTATGTATTTACTGCCATGTGTGAGCAATGGATGTTTAGAGTTTGTTTGCCGTTACAAAAACAGCTCTCTCGCACAGAGAAGCTCATGCACACAAATGGCTCGCTTTTTCGGCTTGCCTCCTCTCCAGTTACTTTTTCACTTTTTTTAATTTGCGGCATTTTTTGTCTGGTGGTAAAAACATTTGTAATAGTATTTGCATAGCTTTGATACATTCTGTTCTTGAAAATCTTGGGAGAGCCGACTTATCAAGCTCAGAGCCGCTTGTGGGCAACAAATACAACATAGCCTCTGGGCAGCAGACTGCAGGCTAGAGCAAGAGCGCAGCATTCAGTTGTCTTCGTGTGTTTGCTGTGACTCTCTCTTCATCTCTGTTGCGCAAACGCGTTGTTGTCGCATCAGAGTGCCAGAGAGGCAGCTGTTTCTGCTGGCGCCGTTATAGCTGAAACCGGCTTGGGGCTCCCGTACCGAATTTTGAATCCCACTTGTGAATGCCCTACCAAAAGTTAACATATAATGGAAAAAACACAAAATAGAAATCAAGGTTTTGGCATACGTACGGAATGTAAAGAATGAGTTTAGCAAAATAGGACAGATATAAGCCAAACTTTCTAATTGGAAAACTATTCGGCCGTTTCCGAAATTGTAAACAAATTGTTCAGTTGTGGTTGGATTTAAAAAAAACTTTATGAAACTTTACAAAAGCTCACAGATGGAATGATTTTCAATACATTTTAAGGAATGGAACGATAAGAAATTCGTACGGGTAGTCATGAGTGAGTGGCTGAGTCATTTGTAAATATGTAAGAACTTTTCAGATACTTATTGACCGATGCAAGCGGGTTTTTAAACAAGCCCAAAAACAAAGTGAACGAACCCCTCGCAAGCCAATACAAACTACAATACACCATTTAGAGCAGGCAGGCACACGCATATCGTACACACACACACAAGTGAACATGCACACACCCATGTGCGCTCGCTCACCAGCTCGACTTTTGAGCGTGGAAATTCTCTTGAAAATCGACTGGCGAACAATTCATACCCATATATGGTAAACTTGGCTGCGGAATGGAGAAATGTCGCTGATAAGGAGCTGAGCGCAGCATGAGCGTGAGTGACGTAGCCGGCTGGAAAGCTGGCTTTATAAAACGGCAAGCAACGACCAGTTTTCATATCATTACAGTTTGAGTTCTTGTGCTGTGTGGATATTCCCAACCGACACAACACCGCTCTCCAATCAGCCAGCAGTCGTCTACGCAAAAGACACTCAACCGAAAGACTTAATTTATATTAATTTAATTAATTTTAAACAAAACAGACCAAATGTAAGTATACGAAAACAGTTTGACACGATCCAGCAAAGTCCGAGAATTCGTCCCCCACCCCCTTCGAAAAGCCATCGCAAAAAAACATCGCAAACCGTGCGACAAAAAAAAAAAAACAAAAACAGTGAAAATGTTTTATGTTTGATAACTAAATTTTTTTGTGTGATAGTGTGAAAAGTGATGGAAAAGTTAGTCGAAAAATTCGCAACTGAAAAGTCTATCTTAAAAGAAAAGATTGACGGAAGGTCTACACTGAGAATGTCAGTCCTAAAAATGAGTTTCCCAGAAACCCCCTTACTGGGACTGAGAAAAGTCTCAGCTGAAAATATGCCCCTCTACACAACAACAAACTACTTGTGTACTCGCAATTGCGTATTCATACAGATTAGTTCTAATCTAAAATATAGCACCAAGACACATACATAACTATATAGATATACATGCATATGTATCTATAGACGACTGGGCGTGTCACGCGCCATTTTACGATTTCACTCAAGTGGGAAAAATAAGTAGACCAAAATCTTTGGTGACAGTTTCGTTTAAGACATTTGAAATTCAATTCGCGAACCGCTTTCTTTTTCCCACGCCCAAAATTAACTTTCCCTGAAAGCAAGATTCGCAAAATAATTGTTAGACGTTCATTGCAGCCCACGCAAAGCCCCCTAAAGAAAGATCTGTGGCAGATCATAGTATAAGCCCATGCTATAAGAACTGTCCTGTCCCGCCAGTGACGTAGGCAGATCGCAATCCATAAATGTTTGCGGCGTTTGTAGGCGGCCAGAAATAGTAACAGAATCGCGTCATTAAAGTTATTTGGAAAGACTTGATCGTTGGGGCTTTAAAATGCCGGCTTCAATAAATTCATACACACATATATGCACATTTGTATGTGTGTAAGTCGCCGACGTCGCTGTCGCCGTTGCTTGTGCAAAAATGGAGAAAACCTTCGGCGTCGGTCTCGACAGTATGCGAGTGTGTGTGTGAGAGCGAAAGCGAGCGAGCAACGGAGGCGACTTTTTCGTTCGACTGCGTTTCGCTTCGAAACATGACCATATATGGTCACAAAAGTTGGCTTCGACGATTCCACTCGTTCGCTCTCTGTCGCACGCATGCGCTTGCAGCCGTTCGAAATGTGCAGGCGAGAGCGAGTCGGCACACACACACACTCACGAGACAGATATCGCGTCAAAGCCGACGCTGCCAGCCCAGGCATTGAATCGTTGTTAACTAGCATTGCCGCTGACACGGCCCGGTCTGTTCATTCCTCTTTCGACGGTCAAACGGTGCGGTTGCAACTTTTTCCCTTTGAATCGTTTTTTTAAAACAACAAAAAGGTAAATTAAATGGTTTAGTGTTTCGAACAAATTTTTAAAGAAAAGTGGCTTTTAATTTAAAACTGTATCTCACTGAAAAAAGTACGCGATTTTGTGGGCAAAAGCTTTGTTAGCCAGCAACTGCACGAGCACATCAGTTTCTTAATATTTTTTTATGGTGAAGTTTACCATCTTGGTTTTTGCAATAAACCGACGATTCGCGTGATACTAAATTGTGGTGCTAGACCGGCTTTAATACAAATAAATTTCGTTTCTTGCCCTTTCTGTGCTCTTCTTTTGCGGCCGCCATTTTACAGCGCCTTTTGCCGCATACACACACGCCGCTCCTTTGCACCGGCATTCAAGTGCTTTGTGTCTTGGCTTGGCTGTTCCTCTTTCTTTCGGGGTGGGGCCCCAGAGCCTCTTGTTCGCAATTCACCCTGTTCCTGGCGCTCTCTCGCGAGTGTTGAATCTTACCGGAACTAATTGTTTCTTTTGTATGTCCTTGCAGCTTACAATATGTGTGACGAAGAAGTTGCTGCTCTCGTTGTCGACAATGGCTCCGGCATGTGCAAGGCCGGTTTCGCTGGAGATGATGCACCCCGCGCCGTGTTCCCATCGATCGTCGGCCGCCCACGTCACCAGGGTGTCATGGTTGGCATGGGACAGAAGGACTCGTATGTGGGTGATGAGGCCCAGAGCAAGCGTGGTATCCTCACTCTGAAGTACCCCATCGAGCACGGAATCGTGACAAACTGGGATGATATGGAGAAGATCTGGCATCACACCTTCTACAACGAGCTGCGTGTTGCCCCCGAGGAGCACCCCGTTCTGCTGACCGAGGCCCCTCTTAACCCCAAGGCTAACCGTGAGAAGATGACTCAGATCATGTTCGAGACCTTCAACACACCCGCCATGTATGTGGCCATCCAGGCTGTTCTGTCGCTGTACGCCTCTGGCCGTACCACTGGTATCGTCTTGGATTCTGGTGATGGTGTCTCCCACACTGTCCCCATCTATGAGGGATATGCTCTGCCTCACGCCATCCTGCGTCTGGATTTGGCCGGTCGCGATCTGACTGACTACCTGATGAAGATCCTCACGGAGCGTGGCTACTCATTCACCACCACAGCCGAGCGTGAGATCGTGCGCGACATCAAGGAGAAGCTGTGCTACGTCGCTTTGGACTTCGAGCAGGAGATGGCCACCGCTGCCTCCAGCTCTTCTTTGGAGAAGTCTTACGAGCTTCCCGACGGACAGGTCATCACTATTGGCAATGAGCGATTCCGTTGCCCCGAGGCCCTGTTCCAGCCCTCGTTCTTGGGAATGGAGGCGTGCGGCATCCATGAGACCACCTACAACTCGATCATGAAGTGCGATGTGGATATCCGTAAGGACCTGTACGCCAACACCGTCCTGTCCGGTGGCACCACCATGTACCCTGGCATCGCCGATCGCATGCAGAAGGAGATCACCGCCCTGGCCCCATCAACCATGAAGATCAAGATCATTGCTCCCCCAGAGCGCAAGTACTCCGTCTGGATCGGTGGCTCCATTCTGGCCTCGCTGTCGACCTTCCAGCAGATGTGGATCTCCAAGCAGGAGTACGACGAGTCTGGCCCATCCATTGTGCACCGCAAGTGCTTCTAAGTCTAGCGGTGGACTTCACGCCTTCGGGCGTACGAGAGGAAGAGGATGACGACGACGACGGAGGAAGAAGAAGCAGAGCGAGTGCGAGTAGTGCCGGCAGTTTATGTGACGTGTCGAAGGAGTGCAGCACAACAAGAAGACCATCATTCACGCCGCCTCCAACGCCCACACCCTTGCGGAGAGAATGCTCATCCCTAGGGTGTGGGTGGGGGGAGACGGCTCCGTGTTGTGTTCTAGCATTAATTAATTTATTCCACATGAGATATGATATAATATGTATTTTTGTTTTTTTTTTTGAATATCCCTAATATAACAACAAAAAACTGAGATGAAAACTAGAACAGCATTATCTGCCATTCCACGGACAGAGCACACACTCTCACACACGAATGCACCCACTCACATACAGACACCATACACGCTCGCACTTCCCTTGCACACACACCACACACACACACACACACACAACCACCAGAACAACAACAGTGCGTGGCGTGGAGTTGGCTTCCTCGTCGAGCGCGTCGGCATGACAAGGACAACTACAAGAACATTCAACATCATCCAGAAGAATCATTCTATTCCCCCAAAGCAAAAAAAGACAACACAAAAACAAAAATGAAAGCAAAACACAAACAACACACTAGCGTTTTGTAAAATTAAAAAGCAACCTTATGTATTATTTTTTAATTATGATGTAATTATAAAAACAAGTGAAACAAAAATATGAAAACGAAAGAAAATCAACCTCGTCTTCTCTTCTGTCTCCTCGTCTTCTATCTCTGCACTCACACACCACCACACTCTCTGCTCCTGTTCCTGCTCTGCTCTGCTAGTGCTCTCTGCCTGTGCCTGTCTACCCGCTCTCTCTTGCTCACTGTCTTTTCGCCGGCCGGCAAGCCGCTCGCACCAAAACTCTCATACACCAATACCCTTACATACATACATCATATATATGCATATACATGAATGTGGATGCAGCCAGTAGTTGCTGCTTTGGCGTCGACTGCAGAAGAGTTTTTTTTTTGCATACGGTACTCCCATACATACGACATGAAATACATTTGTAATTTTTTTATTTGTATACTTTTCTAATTGCATGCGTATCGAATGATAAGTTTACGCCTGAAAATGTTAATTAAAATGTGAAAATGCAACTAAAAACATACAACCAAAACGAGTGAAAACTCTTGAAATATTAACATACATATCCATGTACATGTGTAGTCTCATGGTTGGGGAAATGCCGTTGGAAATTATCGTTGGGTGGATGGTTGGGAGCTTTTGGGGGGGTCAGTGACCTGACGTTCAAAGCTGATGCTGTGGATGATGATGTTCTTAAAACCTGCTTAACAGCTGTTAGAACTCTTTAACAGGCGCCTGTGGCCAGCCGGCGTAGCGCGTACATACACCAACAAACACACACACATCCGATGTTAATGACTTACAGAAGAGCGGCAGCCTCATCGATGTCACTGCGATTAAAGTGCCGTTTTAAGTGTTATAAACTATACAAAGAGAAGCATAGCGCAGCCCATAAGTAAGAGATTGTGAGTTTGTATAGTTTTGGATCGAAATTAATTAAGACTGGAACACGTGCAGGCGGAGTGGAGAGCACGACAAGGAGCATCACAACTCACACACAAATAACACACACACTTGGGACATGCCTGGGCACTGCTTGCTTTTTAAAAGACCGTGTGAAACGGTAAAAATTCTCTTATGGCGCTTTCTTTTCGATTCTAATTTTATTTGTTTTTTTTCGTTTGGGTTCAACGGTTTCATTTTGCTATTGGTTTTCGAATGAATAGTTTTCGGAAATTTGTTCTAGAATACGTTCTGCTGGAAGGGAAGCACGGAACTACAGGGAAATTTCGCTTAGGCGAATGTCTGTCCGAACGATACCCAGGCTCAGCTCAGCCTACAAATATTTAGTCATGATCTTGGTCGCATATACATATAATGTATCCACTGTCTAAGCGACAACAATGTAAATTCGCTGGGCTGGGCCCTGGGGCCCTGAATATTCATGCGACCTTCGGGCAGGGGGTCGGCAGCGTACGTTCCACGATTTGAATATGATCGGAACCGGGATCGGGAACGGGCCGTCGTACTTCGCCCACGGCCTGGATCTAGAACGATTTGGGACAGCGATCCGTGCGGGTGTAATACGATGTCTATAGCAGCGGCCTTTAAGGATCACGAAATCTTCGTAACCGGCGCCTCGGGTGGGTATTGTGATATTATATCAGGATATTGATACACTCAAAACGACTGATGGGGGGTGGACGCTTTCAGGTTTCATTGGAAAGGCCCTCATCGAAAAGCTGTTGCGATCATGCCCCAGTCTCAAGAAAATCTACGTTCTGATGCGGCCCAAAAAGGGGCACAGCATCGAGGAGCGCCTGCAGATGCAGGGGGAGTCAAAATTGTATAAACGCCTGCATAAGGAGCAGCCGGAGGCGTGGTCCAAGCTAGTGCCCATTGCCGGCGACGTGGAGCAGCTGGGCCTGGGCATTTCTGAGGCGGATCTGGAGAGGCTGCGTAACGTGACCATTGTCTATCACTCGGCGGCCAGTGTACGGTAAGATGGGATGGGATCCTCCTTCAAATGCGAGCTGCTGCCATTCATTGCAACGTTTTTTGGGTTAGCTTCGATGATCCGCTGCGATCCGCCATTCTAATGAACACACGCGGCACCCATGAGCTGATCAAACTGGCCCTGGCCTGGAACAAACTGAAGGCCTTCGTCCACGTGTCCACCACGTACTGTAACCCGAGCGTGCTGGAGGTGGAGGAGCGCATATATCCGGCAATTGCCGACTGGCGTACCACCATTAAGCTGGCGGAGACCTACGATGAGGAGACCCTCGACATATTCAACCTGAAGTGAGTGGCCAAGCAGAAGGGCAGCCAGCCATGTAACATATGATTACGGTTACCTATTGCAGATATGGAGACTTTCAGCCCAATTCGTACACCTTCACCAAGAGTCTGTCCGAGCACGTGGTCAACGATTACAAGGATCAGCTGCCCATCTTCATATTCAGGCCATCTATCGGTAATGAGACACCCCGACCCATGTTGTTATTCCTATATATAACCCCCTGTATTTCCCGCACAGTGGTGTCCACCATTGATGAGCCTATGCCTGGGTGGGCGGACAACTTTAACGGCCCCACCGGACTGCTGGTGGCCTGTGGCGTGGGCATATTGCGCTCCCAGAACTGCGATCCCAATGTTGTTTCCGATTTCGTGCCCGCCGATGTAGTGACACGCGGTCTGATCCTGGCTGCGTACAAGTTCCTCGTTGAGCCAGAGGCAACGGCCAAGGATAAGCCGCTCTATGTGGTCAACTGTGCCACGGCCAATATCTCGAAAATCACCATGGGCGAGGTCATCGAGATTGGCAAGACCTACATCCGTGAGAATCCATTCGAGAAGACGCTTTGGCTGCCCGGCGGCAGTATTACGCCGTGCCCGGTTCTGCATTTCATACGGGTGAGTGCCGCAGCGCAGTACCAAAATGTGGGCTCCATTTGATTATGGATCGTATTTCTATTCCCCATTTGGACATTAGTTCTGCACCATGCACCTTCTGATGGCTGTTGTGGTCGACACTCTGCTGCGCTTGTACAACGAGAAGCCTTTGTAAGTGTTAAGCGAGGAGAAATTTTGAATATCCTCTTACGGCTGTTCCATAATTACAGCCTGATGAAGCTGCAGCGACGTATTTTCGCCGCCTTTAGTGCGCTGCATGTGTTCGCCTCCACCGAGTGGCACTTTCACAATCAGAATTTCCGGTCCCTGCACGACCTGGTGTCCGCGAAAGAAGTGTAAGTTAGCGCCCCAGCACAGTACAGCTGCCCCAATCCTCCCTATTAATCCTCTCGCCTCTTCGCAGTGACATTTTTGGATTTATGCAGCATGCAAACATCGACTACGTGGAGTTCTTTCAGCATGCCATTCGTGGCGCCAAGGAGTTCCTGCTGCACGAGAGCCCCAATAGCAGCAAAAGTGCCCGGTTCCGCGTGAAGGTCTTCTATGTGCTGGACTCTCTGTGCCGGGCCATTGTCTATAGCTTTTTGCTGCGACTCATCTATAGATTTGTTGTGAGCCTGTGGTAGTTCCACCGCCACCGCCACTCACACTACTAGATTTATTTTATTTTTTTTTTACTTTCTTTCTCCAAAGTAGATGCTTAGCACACCCTCTGCTGCATAGTTGCACTTAATTTTAAGGAAAATTTATAAATTTTTTTGGTACTGGTAAATGGCGGTTTTTTTAATTGCAAATTTTCGAACTTGTAACGTCTTATTGCAACCATATGGCAACTCCGGCTGGAGGGGCAGCGCCATCTAGTGCATATTGTGCGTACTGCAATAATCGGCGCATTTGCAGCCCTGGTGCACAGGGTTACCTTTTGATTATCAAAAAAACAAAATGGTGGCATATAATATTTTTGTTTGGCCGCGTACATAAAAAAAATTTCGTGTATAATTTGGCCATAAACACTAACAAAAGTGAGCAAACAATCAAAAACGTGCGAGAGAGACAGCGGTGAAGCGAGCACGGCGATAGAAACAATAAAATTACACGAAATCAGGCAGCAATTAACACAGTTGATCATCGAACGCTGGTTTGCCGAAGGGTAGCGTAGCGGCCTGGCTGCCTGCCTGGTGTTTGGTGTTGGTAAACCTCTTGGTGGGTCGATTGCGCTGGTCCAGAGGTGCCACCCGGGCCACCCAGCGGTGGTTGGGCAACGGCATTCTACTAGGGTGGTGGCAGTACAGTACAGGTAGCTGCAGTCCGCCCCCAGTATCTCCTCGCACCAGCTGGAAGAGGCGATACCAAAACAACAACAACAACAGCAAACGAGCAACCTGCAAACTGCCAACTGCATTGCCGGTTAATTGGATTAGTCAGTCCGTAGGTAGTGGAGATGGCCACGACACAGCAGTACTCGCTGCGGTGGAACAACTATCTGCGCCACCTGACCTACTCACTGGACAACCACCGGCTGAACGATGATTTTGTCGATGTCACATTATGCGTGGACGGCAGAAAGATTAAGGCCCACAAGGTGGTACTGTCCTCGTGCTCATCATACTTTAAGGAGATATTCAAGGAGAATCCCCATCCGCATCCAGTCATTATATTTAAGTTTATCAAATTCGAAGATCTCAACTCGATAATCGAGTTCATGTACCAGGTATGCCACACCAATCCACACTCCATTCCATTCCATTTCATTTTGTAAGCGGTGAACCGCTTGTTGTGTCTTTTAGGGCGAGGTGAATGTACAGCAGGAGGCGTTGCAATCGTTCCTGCAAACAGCCGAGCTGCTTGCCGTCCAGGGCCTCACCGCCGAGGAGAAGGAGAAGCCGCAGCTGCCAACATTGCCGCTCAGCGATCATAAGCTCATCAAGACCATACCCAGCACCATAAGAGCGGTGAACGATCAGCAACAACAGCACCTTCCACAGCAGCAGGTGCCCAGCGTGGCACAGGCGCAGACAGCAACGCAAACCATCGAAATACCCACGGCCACGCTATTGCAGGCAACGGCTGCCAGTCAGGTTCAGACGCAAGTGGCTGCTGCCGCTGCCGTTGCCGCTCAGCTTCAGGTCCAGCAGCAGCAGCAGGCGCAGTCTCAGCCGCAGCAACAGCAGCATCATCATGTACAAACCAATCATATACAACACATCCAGGTGCAATCGGCACCACTACCACAGCAACAGCAGCAGCAGCAGCAATCCCAACAGCAGCAGCAACAACAGCAACAGCAGCAGCAATCACAGCCACTGCCGACAACGCCACAGCATTTGACCATCACGAATGCGGTGGCCCTGTCCGTGGCGAAGAAGCGTAAGCTCACCTTCTCCGATGATGATGACAACATCTACGCCACCGAAACGGTCGCCTATGCCGGCAAGGATGACCAGACTATTGTGAAAAGTAAATCAAATAATCAAACACGACAAATTGAAATCCAAATAATATTTTTAACCTTGTTGCAGCTTCTGATATGACCTTCCTAAGAAGTGCCGTCAAAATGGATATACCCGACTATATTGTGAGCGAGGTGGATGATCGGCTGTCGGACGGTGCCACGCCGCAGACGTCACAGGATGCCACTACCGGGGCAGCGCAGACGGTGGCCCAATACTCATCCGAATATGAGATACTGACCGAGTCAGAGATCGAGGAGAAATATCAAGCGGATGCGGAAAATGCCGAGATAGCCATCGAAATGAGTGAGTAGCCTCAAGCAGCACTGAATTTAACCATCTGACGGCACCCCTTTTCCGCCCTCAAATAAAGCCCGCCTGTTGGGCAGTGGGACGGGGGCAACATCCACGCCCCATGCTGTGTTAGAGGATGGCAGCCCGTCGGCAGTTCCCTCGACTACGGTGTCCCTGACGCCGGTCAAGGCGGACAGCAAGGGCAACAACGCGCCGCCAAATGGTAAGTGAGACATAGTACGATTGGGTAGGGATTTTGTTAGGGCTTTGAGTGGATTTAGCCCAATTGATTGATACAACAGCTGCGTAGGAGCACGACTGACTTTGGGCTCTGGATAGCTGTTGAGTCATAGACACAGTCATTGCATTGTTATAGCCAGAGATCACAAAAAAGAGTTACGAGTTGCAAAAACAAATTAAAGTCGAATAAGTGTCCTCCGCGGAGGCTACACTCATTTTTCAAGAGGATAACTTTTGTTTTAAAGACTAATATTTACTTTAAAAATCAAAAATGATTTTTATTTTAAAAATTTTATCAAATAATTCTTACTGTAAATATTATCAAATAATTATTACTTTAAAAATTATCAAATAATCATTATTTTACAAATTGAAAATTTATTTTTACTTTAAAAATTTTAAGGAGTTTTTTATTTTCAAACTGAAAAAATAAAAAAATGAAGAAGAAATTCCTGATTTAAATAATACAAAGCAGAATTTAATTTGTATATCATAATTGTTACTAGGGAAAAAATTGTAATTCTTATGATTCCTGGTTATAGCCATATTCGATACCCTCACAACTATGTAAAGTACATAGTAAATCACACGACATACATATGTATGCTAATTGTATGTTTTTTTGGTATGAAAATGTATGAAAATACATATGAAAATATGTATGTACCAGTTAAATCATATCACATTTTGTATTTATTTTTGAATTCGTTTTAGTGAATGTTGGTTAATTGAATGGAAAGTTGGATTGCAGCGATTGTATTTAGATGGAATTAAATTTCAATTTAACCAAACAAACAAAAAAACCAAAAGATTAAAAATATTACCGAAAACACACATAGACACACAAACAACAAACATACACCCCATACAAAGAAATGAACCAAGATGTGGTCGGTACCCCCCCTCCCTTTAAGTTGCTTCCTTAGGTTTTAGATTTTAGCATTATTGATTTGATTTTTAATTTAAGTTACATATATTAAGTTTCTGGTGTAAATGGATGTGCCTAGCTAATTTGTACGACTACTATGCTCTGTAGATTAGTGTAAAAAACCGCACTGCAGCTTCAAGCTCTAATTATGTATTTAGTTTAGTTATTTGGAGTTGAACTGTTAAATGTATGTGTACCCAACCAATCCAGACCCAAACCCACGCCCCGGTCTCCCACATTTATGTCGTAAGAGTTGTTGTTGTTGTGGCTGTCGAATATGTCTTCAAAGGGTGATGCAGAGAGGGAGAGAGAAAGAGTGCAGAGGGGATACATGGGGGATGGGGCAGGAGGGGGCCACCAAACTGTTTTTTATTGATTGTACGTATTTTCTATATATTTTTAGATTCGCCCAATAATAAGTGGACAGAATGTCAGTTTTGCAAAATGGTTATTACCACGGTTAATCTTTGGAGACATATTCGCACCCAACACACACCACAACCGCCCCGCAAATGTGATCTCTGCAATAAGAATTTCAAAAATAAATACAGCCTCCGCGAGCACATACGCATCTCGCACGAACAGAAGGTCACCATCAAAACGGAGAACTGATGGGCAATCTACACGACTGCCGAAACCTTCATCAGCCTCAATATGAATATGGGCAGCATACGAAACTAAATGGAACACAAAACAAGAGAGAGACACACACAGAGAGAGAGAGAGAGAGATTCCAAGATATATATATAAAATACTATATAGAGAATAACGTCCAAGTAGCAATAACAACTGAAAGATTACTCTTTCCAGTCCACACACAAGAAAAAAAAAAAAAAGAGTCCACCAAATCACCAAACACCAATCCATCATCCCCCACCCCACATCAAAAATTAGCCAAAATTTGTCAAAACAAAAAACTCCAAAATGCAAAGCAAAAGTGTGGAGAGGAGTGGCGAAGAAAGAGGAGAGGAGAGGAGCATTACGTCTAACAAACGACTAGCGATATGTGTCTAAAATAGCATTAGTTTATACACATCCATATAGTTACGATATATACGAGATATATACTATATTATATTAAGTTAAGGCTAAGGCCAAGGCCCAAGTCAGAGTCAGAGTCAGTCAAGAGTCAGTGGAGAGCTGGTAATCCCCCGTCGTTGACCAAGCCATTATTATATGTAAAAGGTATTTTTAGTATCTAGTACTTTGCTTAGTGCAACAAAAATCAACGTTTTTTATTGGATAGCAGAGTACAAATACCGACCATTATGTATATATACACACACAAAACACACACACCAACACACACACAAATTGATCCTCTGTGGCATCTCTTGTTTCCAGCAAAGGCTTTAAGCTAATCTAAATCTATTTATGTACTTTGCTCAACCCTCAGATAATAATCCCCAATAATTGTACAAAACAAAACAACAAACAAAACAAAACAACTTCATTAGCATTCATACTATTTGGCCATTCTGTGTTCAAAGCAATAGAGAGATTTATGCCGCATAGTCGCATTGGTGGAGGAGGGGGGAGTGGAGCGTTTTGAATCGTTTGTAAAGTAGCTAAATTAGTTGTAGGTTTTAGTTGCCCCCCCCACCCAGCCAGCCGTTAGTTTAGTGTTGATTAAGCCACAAGCCAAGTGAAAACGGAAGTCATCATATGATAAACTGTACATTAAGATTAGGTTGAACAAAAGTATTTTTGAATACCTGTAGAAATCCTCTCTAAAGACACTACACACACACGCGTACACCCACAGAGATGCATACTAAAGATTATCTAGTTAAATGAAACCAACTCATACGTATTAATATAACGATCCACATGCATATATGTAGATCTATGTATACAAAATATAGCTAGAGTTATACTATATCTAATGTATGGCCACTGTATGGATGATCAGATTTGTCTTTGTACCATTGAATTTTTGATTTATGAATTGAATTGATTGAATAGAATTAAAAAGCAATTTAGGTAAGTTCAAAAGTGGGTCTGATTGCAACAGCAAATATACCAGAAAATCATAATTTTTAACGTTCAGTTAAAATTTGATTTATTTGCTAAAATATTCAATTTGTTTTGAAACATTTTTTTTCGATTTTCCGTTCGATTTCTATTGAAATGCCAAATTATCAATATATATATGTAGATAAAGCAAAGCAATTGATTTCATATTTCATAATCTAGAATAATTAGACGCAATTATTTTGTTTTGAAGTTTTCCCATGATTATACATAACTATAAAGATTTAAAAGACAAATTCATTGAGAGATTCCATACAGGGCCATAGTCCCATAGTCCGGATGGCCCAAGCGTCCGACTATATCCAGTGAACGAAGAACCGCAATGGGATATAGAGATTCCCATTTGATCGATCCCTCCCTAGCCCACAATAAGCCTAAGTACATAATGTGTATGTATATAATATGTATTAATAGAAGAAAACTACGACTACGACTAGATTATCCAATTTAAATCGTTTTGCTAAAATGAGACAGACAGAGAAGGAGATATGACAAGGAGAAAGTCCAAAAGAGACAGACAAGAGAGAGAGAGAGAAATAAACAAAATACAAAATACATGTGTAAACCAATTAAACGATAGAAAATCAATTATGCTGAGCAAGCAAATGTGGGGATGGGCTAGCAGAGAGTAATACACAATACAGATAATAAAACTATGTACACCTTTTTTTGTATATTGCAGCACCCAGTGGAATTGGAACTGGAACTCGATTAGGCACTGATACGAATACCGAACCACTGGCCGAGGATGAGACAGTGCCAGAGGTATACATGCCGCTCATCTGTCACTTTTGCAACCGACGCCTCAAGTCAACGAACGCCTTGAGGCGACACATCGCGTCCAGGCACTCGGAGATACAGGACAAGCAGCACGAATGTTATATCTGCATAAAGAGCTTCAAGACCAAGTGGTCCCTGTCCACGCACAACTCTCGTTTCCATCGCGATCTGCGCCAGAGCAAGGAGTTTATTAAAATCGAATCGGCCGATCACTGAAGCAAATGGGGAAAAATCAACACTGAGACACAACAAGTATTTTCATGCCCGGCATTTTGGCAGAAGGAAGCGTTTCCGAACCACCCCCTCTTGATCAGCATTTCGTCCGCATATTGGAATGTGTACGCGAATAGGGAAGGCCAATTTCTGGGTAGACCAAATATCAATATCGATCAGACAATGGTTGTATAGTTCTCTGCCTTTTGAACACTTATCGATGTGATTGTTTCCTATGTAGGGTACTAAGGTACCAGCCGCCAGTAAGGAATTCTGAATTTAAGCACAGATATGTAAAAGCAAACAACCTGAACGCTTCGCACCAGATGGTTCACTAGGCACCCGATTAGTCGCATGTAAAACTGGCTTCAAATTAAATTTTCCTTCCATCGAAAGTATGAAACTTTGTAAGGCTTATGTCAAATATTGATTTCATTTGGACTCTTATTAATGCCATCGGTTCGGTTTCATGTGCCGCTCGTCGTTTGGACTGCGTTTCTGGCTGATCAAGAATATATGGGTATTATGGGTAGGGTAGGGTTCCGGAGATGCTTCTTGCTCTGCGTTATAAACTTCTGCTTCTTTTAATAGTGCCCTCTCTTCGGGGAGTTCACAAACAAGTGTAAGCGGGTATCTGATTGTCGGAATATTCGACTATATCGATCTAATTGTAAGGCCCCCTGGCCATGCATCTGCCATAGATTGTATGTATCGTAGTTTGGCTTGTATATTTGCTTCTGTGGTCATCTAATAATAATAATAATGCATTATCGATCAATTTCGACAAATTTAACTCATCTCACACGAAATCTTTTGTACGCTAATCATTTTGCATTGTTTGGCTATCTGAGAGGAATGGAATGTGGTGCCGTGCCGTTTCTCAGGTTCGATTAGGACAATTAGAAATGGATTGCGCAATTGGCCTTGACAGACCTGGACAGCCCAACAGCAAACAAAAAGCAAAACAAATTAATTTACTGCACGTGTGGGCTGAAACTGCATTGAATTTTCGCACAGAGAAAAAAATGGGTTTGATTTGCACTTGGAGGACTCTTCGTTGGCTAAATGGTTGCTGCTTTTCATCCATTGCGTCGATACAAAGTACTGGAAGTACTCCATGTAGAAGGAGGATGTCCTTGCAGCTCGGCTGTTAGCCCCCGTTCCGTTCCAGTCCAACAACAACAACACTGTCCATTCAATTGATGTTTCTGTGTGTTTAATAACTTAACTACTATTTCCATTTGTATTTGACGATCGGGAATTATTGCAAAGGATTACAATTTTGCATTACGTTTGGTGAAACAATGCGAACAAAAAAATATACAAATGCTTTTGCGTTTTACAAAGTCTTGAGGCCGGGCAGTGGGAACTGCTTGCTGAACGCGATCACAGCCTTGTGGATCTGCTCGATCTTGGCCTTGATCGTTGCATCCTCAGCGAGGACCTTGTGATAGTCAACCATCTTGGGGCTGCCCGCAGCCTGGACGGCCTCGGCGCCAACCTTGAGAGCCGCATCTATGAAGTCCACCACCTGATCCATGTCCTTCGCCACAAGGCCGCGCGTGGTCAGTGCCGGTGTGCCCAAACGGATGCCGGACGGATTCAGGGCGGACTTGTCCCCGGGCACGGTGTTCTTGTTGCAGGCAATGCCAACCTCTTCGAGAATTAGCTCCGCCTTGGCGCCGGTGAGGCCGTTCTTGCGGACATCCACCAGAACGAGATGCACATCAGTGCCGCCGGTGGCCACCTGATAGCCCTTGGCCATTAGGCCCTCGCACAGCACCTTGGCGTTCTTCAGCACCTGTGATTGGTAGCTCTTGAATTCGGCAGACTTGGCCTGCTTGAAGGCGGTGGCAATGCCAGCCACGGCATTGTTGTGTGGTCCGCCCTGCAGCGATGGGAACACGGCCTGATTGATGCGCTCCTCCAGATCGTACAGCACCTTTTCCCCGTTGGGCTTTATGCTGCGCACACCCTTGCGGAAGAAGATGACGCCGGCGCGTGGGCCGCGCAGCGTCTTGTGCGTGGTTGTGGTCACAATGTCGGCGTACACGAACGGCGATGGTATATGCCCGGCGGCCACCAGACCGGCCACATGGGCCATATCGGCCATTAGATAGGCGCCCACATCGTCGCAGATCTGACGGAAACGGGCGTAGTCGAGCAGGCGGGAGTAGCACGAGATGCCAGCGATGATAATCTGTGGCTTGAAGGCCTTGGCCGCCTCGGCCAGCTTGTCATAGTCGATGATGCCCGTCGCGGGGTTCACCTTGTACGGCATGCTCTCGAAGAAGATCGAGGTGGCCGAGATGCGTTTGGTGGCCGTGAAGAAGCCGTGCGTTAGATGGCCGCCATCGGGCAGGTCCAGGCCCATGATGCGATCGTGCGGACGACAGACGCCCACATAGGCGGCGAGATTGGCGGGCGAGCCCGAATACGGCTGAACATTCACGCCCCACTGATCGTCGGCCAGATTGAAGAGCTCACGGCCGCGCTTCTGGGCCAGCAGTTCGATGCAGTCAATGAACTCGTTGCCGCCATAGTATCTGTGTGTACAGGATGGTTGAGGATTAGCTATGCTGAAGGACTCTATGCTTAGAAAGAGAAAAATAATGCTTACCGCTTGCCGGGATAGCCCTCCGAGTACTTGTTGGTCAGGCAGGAGCCAAGACTCTCCAGTACGGCCACCGAGGTGAAATTCTCGCTGGCAATCATCTCGAGTCCCTCGCGCTGTCGCTCCTTCTCCTTCTTGATGAGATTCGCCAGCTCCGGATCGCTATCCTCCAGCGTTGCCTGCAGCAATTTTTGATCCTCCATTTTCTGCATAGTCAAAGATTCACAAATATTTAAATACAATACAATTTACAAGTGCAGCAAATGCGATGCGGTCGGTGCAACGATCGATAATGCTCTGACGTTAAGTGCAAGACGATGACCGACTCGACAGCGATCCAGCCAGCAGCAGGGTGTGTGCATCTCTGTGTGTGTTTTTCACGCGACAGTTGCCAATAACAAAAATATTTATGTTGCAAAAATATATAGACTTCCATGCCGGGGGAGGGGGAGAGGCGAGCGGAGCGGGTTCAATGGGTTCAAATAGCATTGGAAAAGTTCTGCCGATAAGCAGGCTCTGATCGGACAGATTGATGGGAAGGGAGCGTTGCCGTTGCAATGTGTGAGGTATGTGTAGCCATGGCAACGAAATATTTCCCAATCGATTAGCTTATTTTTATTTGCATTTGATTTCATAAATGCATCTGTGGGTCGCGAAACGCCCCTTAGTGTCGTCTTCTTTTTTTTTTTTTTTTTTGGGTAGCGACCCCCTAGCCAGCGATACGACTGGTATTAGCCTTGACCTTATCTGCGCTGTCGCCGTCTTTGGCTGGGTGAAAAGGTCAGACAAGTGATAAGGCGCAGCCCCCCCCATAGAAGCTGACGTAAATAGATTCATTATTGAAAATAGAAAATTCTAGAAATCTGAAAACCTACGAAAACAAATCAGAGAAGCCTCCGAAAAAATTTCTATAAAATTTCGACAAGCCTCATAGGCCACAATTTTCAATTGGTTCTTGAAGTCACAGTGAAAAGACAATTCGTTAGTACCAGTTGCAGTAAAAAAAACAAAAAGACAATAACTCTTGACGACATCCTCATCCTGAATCCGGTAAGCCAAGCCGTCATTTTTACCCGGAGCAACAATTCTGCGTGCTGTTGGGCTACGCCCAAATAAGATCACTGTGCCCCAGAAGATTTTACTGCCGGTGGAGCCGCCCAGCGTCTTGCTGGGTGACGACTGCCTCGAGCTAATGGCCGGAACGCATTACAATTTTGTGCGCCTAGCTGGGCTGTCTGGCGCCTCGGCCATACTCATGGCCGGTATATGCAAGTACATGCTGCGGGATATGATACGCAAAGATCAGCTGGGGGCTAAGGAATATGCCGACTGTGCAACCAGGGTGCATTTCTTCAACTCTTTTACCATCATGGTCGCTCCTTTGGCAGACTTTCCCGTAATGACCGGAACGCTGATGGTAGCAGGAACGGTCCTGTTTTGCGGATCGATGTATTATCGTGCTCTGACAGGAGGACGGCGTGTTAGGCCCATTGCCACCGCTGGTATCATATTGATGTTTGCTAGCTGGATTTCGCTGGTCTTTTAGGATCGCATCAACGACTACGACTACGAACACAGCGTGAAGCAGATACAAAGATCACACCAGTCACAGTACAACAAAATCATTGTTGGGTATGTTCTGTTAATCGCATTAACAAATATAAATATTTAATATATATTTGCAGTTCTTAGAATGCCGATGCAGATATTGACAGATGCAATTTGCTGTTACAGATAACAGACATAAATAACAGATAAAAAATGGAAATAAAAATTTAAAAAATGGTTTTTTTGGCAGATATTTTTGAAGATACTAAATATTTGCTCAACCTCGCTGGGTAAGAATGAATTTTTTCTTTAGAGTTTTACATATAAATCCGATTTATGTTTATTTAGGGCTTAAAGGAGCTACGTTAACTGCAGGGTCCCATCAGTTATACATAATAATCTCCAAATAATATGTTACCAAAACCATTATAGAGTGTATCTACTATCAAGTTAAAAAGTACGACAAAATTTGAAGGAACAAGCAAAAAAAAAAAATATTTACAAAAACACTAAAAAAAAAACCCATGTTTCGCCATGTTTTTGTTTAATATTTCACACCACGAAGTATCATTAATTTGCAAGCCCACGAAGCAGCCCTTAAACGGGCCGAGGAACACTTAGCGCACCAACATACATAGCTCTTTTATTTTCACTGGTTATTCCCCCCACATGAATTCCAAATTTTACCTTGCAACCGCTTCTAATGCTGTTCACTCAACGAATGCATACGGGAGTGCAAACTTTTCTGTATAAATATCCGTGGCAGAGCAAGTATTTGGAAATTCGTGAATCCCAAGAAACGTATGCGCTGGCGCATACAATTGTTTACACACATTATTGTGTATAAGTATGAAATTCAATTTTATGGCCATTGCCAGATGTGGTGGGGTCTGGCGAATAAATTCTAACAAAGAAAAAGCTGAAACCAAAGAAATTTGAGTAGGCCCAAACGAGTTTAAGGCTGAACAAGCACAAAAATATGATTAAGTGCGATTACGACTATTTCGATTGAACAGCGCTCTCCAGCTTAATTTCTGTTGGCATTCGTTAAAAGTAAACTAATCCAGAAACAACACTTCTAGAATACTTTTGAACCTTAATCAGATAATAATAATCTGCAATAAACATTAAATTATCACAATTTGTAATGTATTTGCGGACTTGATTGAAATGTAAGACAAATGTCTTGGAAAACCTAAAGCAGCTGGTTGTAAACGATTTAGCGCGCTGCATGTGCTGCATTAGTGTCTGTGAGGCTGCGCGCTTTGTTTACACGCTGCAGCATTTTGCAAGCAGCTTTGGGTCTCAAACTCCATGACTTAGCGAAAATATCCAAATCTGTTCGATATTCTGTTCAGCATGTAAATGTGCGGTTATATGTGTGAAATGAGATCGATACGCACACACGTACACATGCTGCCATGCAGCCGCTGCATCGTTTGCAACCAGCTTTAGAGCCGCTTGAATGCCGAATAACGCGCTGCCCTCACTCTATAGAACATTTTACATATGAACCACAACTAATTAGAATAAAAACACATGGCACAGACGCTTGAGAATGTAAGCGCTGCGAAGGGCGGTCGGCGTCGGCAAGCACATGTCCGAGTACATCCAGAAAGCTCTCAAAACACACACACACGCACACACAAAACTATGCGAAATATACGATTGCAATCACACGCAAAAAAACAACACTCAAATGATTATAATATTAGTGGTTTGCAGGCCTTAATCAAATGAATTAGCTTAAATTTAGATTTGTTTTTTTTTGTTATTGAGCAGCAGGCAGCGCTTACCAAGCTCAAAGTTGTGTTGTTCCTGCCTTCCGAATATCGTCTGATCGCGAATGGCAGCGCTGGCGATGGCGTTAGCGGCGCTGTCGGTAACTTCTTCGTTAAAGCTGCTCGGACCGGCTGCTGGCGCTGGAAAAACTTAACCGTTTTGGTGTTCAAGTCTCTGCTAAGGACTGGCGCGAGCTTTCTTGGCAGTTGGAGGCTTATGCGCTGCATACTATTACTTAAAGGAGCGTTTTAATTGGAATCCTGGAAATGTGTTGCGTGTGCCACTTACGTGTGTCTCTTCCCCTCTGCAGCGACTGGCGTTCGAATCTGAACTAGCGGCAAAGAAGCCGTCAGCGGAGCAATGTTGTCGCGCTGATATGGCGGCTGTTGTGGCGACGATACCCTCTGACCTGTGCATTGGGGAGTTCGGTGGTGATAAGACCACTCCAATAATTGTGTTTACTTGCCTCTTCTTCCGCGCGACGCCGGCCTTTGCTCTTGTTTCTTCTTCCGGGCGGGCGGGTGTTCGGCATTCGTGATACAAGAAATTACAGCTGTTTTTGGTGGCGCTGCCAGACCATTCATTTCAAGGTAAAACAACAGAGCTTTCAGATATTGCCACACACCTCACTGTTTAATCAGAGCTGCAAAACGATGTTTGTGTTAGGTTAGTTGGTTCATAAATCTGGCACCTGATCGACTCTAAATACCAGACTAGCCTGTATTTCTAGATTCATACTTTTCCCATAAGGTTTTTAAATCAAATCTCACTGCTTGACTAGTTCAAGAAAATTTAAATGTAAATTTGTCAATTTTCAAATCACTTTGTCAATGGCTGCCACATCATTAAATTATAGTTAAAAGCTCCTTAACATTGTAAACAACAGCTGTTTGAAAGCTTTTTCGACCGCCTGGCATCACTTATTTTGGCCCAAAACAAAACACAGCTGGACCGGCCCTCGAAACACGATTCAGTTGAGTCCCAACTGCTTTTTGTGTCTCCACGTCTGGACACGAGAGCGCCGCGTCGGCGGCAAAAACACCTAAAACACAACAATTCTAGGAATCCAACGGAAAGCGTTCGTTACTTTTTTGATATTGCTGTACCGTTAACAGCCTTTGATAGCAAAAAGCGCGCGCTGACGGAATGGTTTTTTTTGTGTCTTTTTTTGATAAAATATTCCAACAAAAAGTGAAATACCCAAAGAAGAGAAAAACTTGAGGAAAAATGAATGAATGAATGTATTTATTCCAACGTTCTGCTTCCTGTGCAAAAATTTGAAGAATAAAGCAATACAAAAGACAGCAAAAACAACAAGAAAAACAACAAAAAAAAAAACAAAACGCAAAAAGAAATAAAGAAAAGGTGAGAAAACAAATTATTTATTTTGATGTGCGAAAAAAAGAGAGAGACACAAAAAACTGAAAAAAACCACAGAAAAGTTTTATTTTTAGCCAAACAAAAATTGTGCTTTATTTGTGTTAAACTTCTTTTTTTTTTGGTTATTGTTCTTTGGTCTTTGGTTTATTGTTTTGTTTTGTTTTGTTGCGGCATTCACACTCATATTTTGTGGGTTTTTTTATAATATTTTTTTTTTGTGGTATTTGCAAATTTGTTTTCCAGTTTTGTGATTTTTTTTGTTTGTTATATCGTTGAAAATAAAACCCCCAACCAAATTATTACAATAAAAAGCCCCATTGTTCTCAGTAGAGCCCCGGGGTTTCCGGGTTTGTTGACTTTGCCAGTTGCTTATTTGTTGTTTTGTGGATTTTCTCCCAATAAATAATAATGAAAAATATGAAAAAAGCGAGAATCGAAAAACAAAATTGCTTCCCAGAAAATAATTCTTGCAACGCATTTTTTTTTTATTAAATTTTATTCAAATAAACACTAAATTCATAAAATTGCCAGCGACAAAAAATAAATTAATTAAATTCGTGTGGCCGCAGAGAAAAGGAAAACACAAAACAAAAAAACACGAGGAAAAAAGTAATTTACATTTCGTTTTTGTTGTTTGCTGCCATATTTTGTGAGTAAGGTGAGTTGGTAATTTATTTTGCTGCTGGCCCAAAAATACAAAAAAAAATATACAACAAAACTAATGGAAAAACACAACTGGCAAATAGAAAAAAACTTTACGAATTTCCATCCTCTGCACAGGCTTTTGTTGTTATTATGTATGGGTTTACATTTAAGGGGTTTTTGGATACCCTTACACAGAAGAGAGGGCTGTACCATTTGTTAACTCTTAAGATCTTATTTGGCATTTCTGCCAATAAGCCGATTTATTCCATAAATACAATTCTACAAAATCGAGTTTCTTATGACCAAATTCTTTTGAACATTTTGCAACCAAATTAAATACTGATACACTTTCATACAATTCTCTCTTAAAATAATCGCAGCGTGGGGAAGGAAAGGGGATCTAGGCTTCGGCCAAGAGAAGAGGTGTGTTACCGTTGTTTTTTCTGGGCTTATCTGTTTCTCTTTTGGTTTTTTTTGTTTACTGCTGTGTCAATTATTAGGGGAAGAGAGAGGGAGAGAGAGCCCCATCAGCATTTCCGCCTTTGGAGCAGAGAGGCGCCGCGTCAAACGCAAAAGCAATTTGTGAATTTACTTTTCTTTTTGCCTTTGCTTCTCTCTGTCTCTGTCTCTCTCTCTCGTCTCTTTTTTTCCTTCTTTATCATCTCTCAGCGCACTTCATTTTTACAACTTTAATTATATGAGACAAAAACAAACAAAAAAACAGCAAAGCAACAAAAAACATGAACAAAAATTAAAATTGCAAATCGCATTTGCCTTTTGGTGCTGCTGCTGCGGTCGCTTTTTCTGTGTTGCTGCGTCTGCTCGATGCCGTTCGTTGCCATTTGTTTAGTCAAGGTATAATAAATATAAGGTGAGAACAGATACGCACACCGGATAGCCTACCCACTTTCCTCCCTTTCTGACACGATCTATTTGGTTCACACATTTTGTATTCTAAATTCAAATTAGAGGACATGCCGCTCTCTCGGACCTGCCTTACCCATTTAAACGGGCAGGCCCCCCCCGCCCCGCCGCGACTTCGCCTTGTTTCTCTTTCCCAAAACCTTCATCAAATGTAGACCACGCATGACACTAGAAAATGTTCGCGTTTTGTAATCATGCTCCGCAATTTTATTGCGTAGCTATTTTTGCATTAATTTAAACCAAATTGACATGTCAAAAAGTTTGATTGCAGGCCAAAAGAGCGTGTAAGCAGAGACGGTGGCGTAGGCAGTGTAGGGCCCGGCCCAAGTGGCCGGGCCCAGAATTGTTCAACGCCCCTGCTGCGCCAAAAGAGCGGAAGGGGGGGAGGGGGGGGGGGGGGCACAACTGTAGGTCGCGACGACACCAATCTGTTGGTCGCATGCAGAGGCAGCAGCAGCAGCAGCATCGATGGGTGCGTGTATATTTGTGTGTGTGTGCTTCCCACATGGGCCTCTCTACCGCTCACACACTCTCTCTTACACACAGTTAAATTGCATATTCCTCTCTTCCACAACATTTCAAGTTCAATGCCCAAAACAACTGCAACCATACATAGCAACGGGGGAGGTGAGCGAAGGGCCTAAAACAAGGGCAGGTCAGCTCAGCAGCACGCGTCATAGGTGGAATGGTGGAGGTTAAGGCCGTGGGGTAGAGGGCGCGCTTGCCAGATCGCTTATTCGATCGTCACAGCGGCCCCCTGTCGTTCTCGTATTTGTGTGTCATTGCACAGACAAATGGAAACACAAAAACACCAACAAAAAAAAAAACAATAGCGGAAATACGAAAAAAACAACACAAATTCTGACACGAATATTGTTTTCTAAAGCTATGTATTCATTTTGTTATTTTTGCACATTTTTCGTAATAAATTTTGCCTGACAAATTGTTGTTTTGTCACAAAATTATTTTAGTTTAACTTCCATTTGTGTGCAAGTGTTTTTTTTTTCATCTTTTTTCTTACGCAAATTTCCAGTTTGTTTGTACTGTTTTTTGTACTTAAGAAGAAAATAAGAAAAATAATTAGTTTTTGGGAGTGAGGGAAACAAAAGAAACGCTTCAGTAAAATGCGTACAAGACTTTCTGCAAATAATGAAAATATAAACAAAAGATTTGTTAAACAAAAAGAGAGCCTGAAGATAATGGTATGGAATTTTGTTTTCGCTGGGGGTAGGTAAAATAGTTTTGGCGACACGTTTTATCCCTGACTACAGTAATTCCATAGCCAATAAAAAAAATGCAATATACATAGTAGCCAGTCGAACTTTAAAAGTTTTCGCAGAATATTTTTTATGTCTGCCCTTTTCCGTCCCATTAAATGCCATTGAATAGGGCCCCAAAAGGGTTTATCTATTGTGTATCTCTGTCTCTTTGCTTGGCTTTGATATCAGTGAATATTTATAATTAAAAACGAAACCAAAAAATGTCTATGTACATAGGTATGCATGTATACATTTTTGTTTGTTTATTTATTTATTTGAGCTAGTGTGTGAGAGAGTGGCAGAGAAACACGTTAGGCAAATTTGCTGATAACTTTGGAGCGAATAATAATGCAAACGGGGGACACGAGACAGTAAAAAGAATGGGCTAAAGGCAAAAAAAAAAGAAAAATATAAACAATAGTAAAAAGCATTGAAATCAAAGAAAAGAGTAAAACAGATCCGAGGCGGAGAACGGAAGATAAAAACTACATATTTCCGTTGAATAAAAGCAAGCGAAAACAAAAGAAAAGAATCCGAGAAATACACTTAAAATAAACCCCCCACACCCGCACACCCGCACACACCAACGCTACCCAAAAGCAGTTGGAAAGTGGAAAATTCTTGTTGTCTTCTTTTCGTTTCGTTTTATTGTGATATTTATTTCGTCAAGGTTTCCAAATAAATTTATTTCGCCTTCAAAATCAACAAATTCTACAAAAATTATAATAGGCAAAAAAAAGATTTAATAATACATATAAATGTGTGAGCACACAAAAAAAAAAAAGAAAAACAAGAATGATGGGTGACTTGGAGCTTCGGATACTCTCTCTTATCTATTTCCATGGTGACTATATGATACATATAATTCCGATTTTAATCAAATTTTTCGAAGCTTCAAGCAAATACATTCATGCAACCTGCCAGCTTTAAAAAACACATAATATTTGATTGATTTTTGAACTACAGTTCCTACAAATACATACATATCTACATATGTACATACATATGTACATATGTATACATATGATCCAATCTTGGTATTTCCGACTTTTCAAAGTAGATACATATTTTTATTTAAGTATCTCTTTAACAGAAAAAACTACAGATGGACAAAGGAACAACATGTCTTCCATGCCTATTTTTTCACTGTGTGCCAAATATCTGGTAAAAATTGTAATATCCTCTG